TACATAATTTTATAAATATATTTTAATGATCCACCTACGCCGAATGGGCAAATAATTAAACAAAAATGGTTGGTGTTTTGAATAAATCTTTGTGCAGTTTGATTACCTCGTAATTTAACAGCATCCTTACTCATTCAAAAATATTAACTTTTAATGAACATTTATCATATTTATATTTATTCAAGAAAAACTTACCAACGCATTATCTGATAGAACAAATGGAAAACTTTGACTATCTCTAATAATAAAATTCAAAATAGAACTAACTAATTAACTAAATAGAACTAACAAAGAATTAAACAAAAATAATGGAACAATAAAACTATATTAGCTAAAATAAACAACGCGAATAATACAAATATTTACTACAATATGTTCAATTGTAACAACTCAAATATTATATTTTAAATATACAGGGAAATGTTATGGGTTTAGTATACACTTCCACTATTTGGAATAATTCTTCTTTTTTTAAAGGAAGAAGTCTGCAATAGTAGTATATTTGAGCTATTAATACTGAGAAGTAGGAATTTTTGTGTTGTAGGTTTCCGACAATGAATCTGTCAAAATATGCCCGAGCCACAGAATAATAAACAATCAGAAGGGACACTCTCAGATGCCGCCTTTGAAGTTTTTCAGCACGCGCGCCATGTTTGAGGAGGACACAGACATATGATTTGTGTGGTTATGTAATTGTTTATATTTATGTTTAATTATATTATATTTATGTTATTATATTTAACAATGTTAATATAATTGTATAGTATGTCTATGATTGCCGTAAGTCAAATAAACCTGGTTAATTTTTCCATGCACACCACATAATTTCTTTAAAATCCTCCTAAAACATGGCGGAACGTCTGCGCGGAGGAGATGCGCGTACTTAATTTTCCGTGGAGAGTGGGTATTCTGTATGTTTATTATTCTGTGCCCGAGCTAAGCGAATGGAGAATAACAACCCTTCTATGTAGATATTGGTACGTTTGCCCAATATATGTTGAATTGCAGTTTTTACAATTTACTTTATAAAGACATCCGACTGATGATATTTAGTAACATTGGATTCAAATTTTGAAAAATATTTGTTTTAAATGTGTACGATTAACATTCGTTACTGACAGTTTCTAGAGCCTCGTTAATATTTTAGAACCGGCTGGTCGGTTTTTAGAGCCCTCCTATATTGGCGGTGTAATACTTTTTCTCTATAGTAAAATGCTAAGGCGAGCGTCACGAAAGTAGCGCCACGAAATAAGCTTCATAGGAAAATTGGTATTCTGAAAATGAAACTGCGCTGTGAACAGTTGGAAGAGTATATTTAAACGACGAGGAGAGGCGTACACAAACTATAAATTTTTTCAATTTTATTTAAATCTATTACAAGGATATTAACTAACAGCAGATTTATTTATGTAATTCTTGTGCATATATTAAGGTATTCATGTTTCTTCTCCTTTGTCTTTTATTTATCTGCATTATTCCTTTACCCCTTTTTTTGTTTGACGTCTTTGTGATCAATTTAAATTATTTGTTCATGATACAATGAGTTTCCCCATTTAAAAGTCCTTGACTGTCCTTATACATTTAAACGTCTTGTTTGTACACATTTAAAACGCTTTGTGGCATTGCATCATTTTTCTAACTACTAAAATTTTTATTTTACACCACCAATGACATATTTATAAAACATTTCTCTTAAAAATCGGATATGACTGACGAGATCGTTTATTGTCGCACCCATTAAGGACATTATCCAGCAAGCAAAGGCGAACAACTTTGAACCGGCGACAATATTTACATAGTCTGGCAAAAATTGTCTCTGCAAATAAAGATTAATTTCTCGCTAGAACGATGGAGTGCAATAATATTTTAGTAAAGTTACTTTTTAAATTAGAGTTTCTTGTTCTTAAAATAATTTAACTTTAGTATTTCATAAGGAGATGGATGTAGCCAATTAAGGAATAAAAAATGCTAAAAAAAATATTATACAGAGTTTTTAATAAATATTCTTGAAAACGTACAGCTGATTTTGCTTTGTTTTTTTAAATTAATTTTTGGCTATAAAACGTTTCTTATAATTCTAGAGAAAAATGGTTCAAATAAAAGTTTTAGATCTTAAAAAGATTTTACTTTGCGATTTTCAAAATTAAAATACATAAACAATTGATCCACATAATTACCAAAAGCTCTTATAGGCTAGGCGAGATCTGTAGAAATTCAGACCATAATGGACATTTGCCATAGGCAGCTATTTTTTGGCTGGAATCCCTTCAGGATGTGCCCAATATCGATAATCACGTTATGCGCCAGTCGCAAACCCTGTGCTAAATTATTTATTTAACAAAATCTGAAAACAATTGAAAATTTCTCATTTTTTTGCTCCTATTTTCGTTTATAATTCGGAAAATATTGATCCTAGAGAAAAAATTATAAGAAGTTAAAAGTTTCGTTATTCAATTTAACACAATATTTCGTTAGCTAGAAATTGAAAATTTAATGTTTATTGTTGAAAAAATAGCAATAATTGGAAAAAAAGTACAAAAAAATTAAGTTATTCCTTTAAATGTTTTCGACTTTCTAACCTTGACTTCCAAGCTCCATATTCCGCCTAGAAAGACTTTTTAATATGTTTAAAACGTGTGCTAAATTTTGTTATCGGTCGGATAGGTTTTGCATAATAATTTTGCAATCCAGCCTACTGGAAAAAAAATCGCAAATTTTCAAATTTATAGTAGGCCCTAAATAAGGTTCTCAGATAGTTGAAATTTTTTTTACATATAAAGGAAGGCTCAAACTTTCAAACGCTTTTTGTAAAATTCAAATCGGTTCACTAGGAGAGCCTAGAAATTTTTTTAAAGTTTTAAACATTTTTTAGGCTTATAAAAGGCAAAAGCGTTAACAACTTGAAACGTTAAAAAGTATAACGTAAGCCTTGAAAAAACATTAAACAACGTTACGCTTGAAAAGAAAGTTACGGCTTATGTGTTTGTAGAAGCTTATTAAAGCTTATAGCTTGTTAGAACATGATATGCTAAAAAGCATGTAAAATTTTGTTTGAATTGGTCAGAAACCGATTAGTGTTCTCCTGAAAATAGCTAATGAACATTTGTCTATAGGACAGCTAAACTAGGAAAGCGCTGATTGTAACAGATAGGATAACAATGCTTAGATTCAGGTATCTACATTGTGTATGTTCCAATGCAATGCAGGTATAGAAATAAACAAAGGTTAAGATTAAAATGGGGTTTAATCCTTGAAGTTAATCTTGATAATTTTGATAAATAGAAAATGTAAATATTGGAAATTCCAAGTATACAGCACTACGAGTTGGTGTGTCTACAGGGTGTAGAAACGTGGGTGTAAGTAAATTTATGAAAGATACAAGATACTTCATTTGGTAAAGCATAGAATTATTATGAACAGGAAATAATTTCTAGAATAGCAGTTGAGAATAGGTGGATTCTTCGAATACTCCTCACAGTGTCAGAGCAAATTCTAAGCAAGGCTGAACAGTGGTTCAGTGGAAATCGGTTGTTGCTTAATACTAATAAGACAGTTTTTGTCTACTTTAGAACCAGCCAGTCACGAGAACAGTTTCCAGATACAATTAATTTTCTATCAGAAAATGCGGAACCTGCTAGATCAGTTAAATTTCTTGGTATTCACATTGACCAGAATCTGAATTGGGGGGAACAAATACAAAATACAACAAAAAAACTGAATAGAACCTGCTACTCGTTAAGTGTTAAAGAGCTATCTAGACCAGGGGATTTTACTCTCAGTATATTATGCAAACTTTTATTCTGTTATGCGATATGGAGTAATCTTCTGAGGTGCTGCAGTAGATAGCTCAACTGTCTTTATAGTCCAAAAAAAGTTAATCCGGGTGATCTTAGGTCTAAAGGTGGGAGAATGCTGTAGAGGCAGATTCAAGTCACTCAATATAGTAACTTTCTCAGCCAACTATATATTTGAATGTATTATGTTCCTTTTTAAAAAATTTTCTTTGTTTTATCACCTGCTTCCCAATCATGAATATAATAGAAGAAGCCTTAATTTGAATTTGCCACTTCACAGATTGTCTATAACAGAGAGAAGTCCTTTGTATGCGTCTGTTAAATTTTATAATAGTCTACCAACTGACATTAAACAGGAAACACACTATAGAGCTTTTAAAAGAAAGGTTTTTCAACACCTACTTGACATTGAGCCTATACTGTGGCGGAGTGCCTGACCTATCCTTCTCCTTGATCAGCATATTTAATTTGTAATGTTATATATTTTAAATATATTTTAAATGTGTGATGTCAATATATATTTTTTTTAATCTGTAATTAATAATGTGACTTTATTTGCTCAATTATGTTTAAAAATTTATGCAAATAAAATTTACTCTACTACTCAAATAAACTAAAATATTTAAAATCCGGTTGTTGGAACGCCAGTACATAACCGTTTTGAAGTGTAATTTTCCTCGTCGAGGGATTTTCTTCAAAATTCCGATTTACCCTCTATTTCACTTCCGTACCTTTTTAAAACAAAGAGTGTAGTATAAAGAAGGAAAAAGGGCCTGTCCTATTGTATGGAGACTTTGACCTGTTGACCATGCAAGAAAAAACTCTACATAACAACCTCAAACGACAATACGGGGAAAGAGACCATCTTAGATAGATCGATGGAGTTCAAGAAGATTTGGGAAAGCTGGAAATCAGAAGATTACAAGCGATGGCTCAGAATAAATTGCTTGAAGAAAGATAATTAGTCAGACCGAGTTCTTCACAGACTGTACAGATACGATGTAGTAGTGGCGGTAGTAGAGATATAACGAGGACAAAGCATACAATTAATAAGTTTTAGTTATTAATAGATACAGCCAATTCGAAGATAATATTATTTGTTATTTTTTACGATTCGATACTCAAATCAATCTCTAGTGCCAAACCTACCAAACAATCAATAAAAACAAAATAACTTAAACAAAAAACCCACAATATAATACACACCTGTTGTTTCTCTGAGTCAGAGTTCTGATTGGGACTACCCGAACTGTTTCTGGGCTTTTTAGAATGTTTTTTATTCCACCAGTTGTTCGAGTCGTCTATTTTCTTGATTTCATCGGTTGCTGGAGGTGTGCCTGGCAGCTAAGTGAAAATAAAAAGAAAAACAAAAATACAAAATAATAAAATAAATACAATAATTAACAAAAAAAAAAAATTTATATACTTTGTATGAGAAGTGGATTATTTGTGAACTGTGGTTTAATGGATAGAGAATTGTTTCAATATTGTATAGACACTAAATTTCAAGAAATGGTGATGAATATTCCTTATTCTTGGTTTTCCAGTGGCGTACAGCATTTTTTTAAGCGCTTTTTGTATTGAAGAATTTTTACAAATTATGTATATATGTACTAGCATTATCTCCATAGCGCTAAGAAACTTCTAAACAAATACGTGGAGTCGGCCATAATAAAACTTAACAATTTAGACACAGGATAATATGGATTAACAAAAAGGCATAATATTAACACAGTATGTTCAAATTAAATAAAATAATTAAATTCATTAAAATCAAATTTACGTAAAGATGTTTAAGAGGTGAAATTATTGCAACAATTACAAATTTTGTAATGAACCCTGAAATGTGGATATATCAGATCCACAAGAAAACCAATAACTAGCATGAATAAATGGACGTCCAAAAATTTGAAGGTTCGTTTTCAAAGATATTAAACCCCGTCGGTATAGATAATGAATTTTACCATCTAGTGCTCTTTTTGGCTGTGTGACGCATGCTTTAAACATGCACAAAACTGACTTCAAACCAATAGCGCTGGGAGCTAGCAGTCTTTTACTTTATCTTTGATACCTCACGTTTTTAACAGCTGGCAACCCTAATTTGTGACCATTTTTTCTCAGGCAACCTTGTATCATCATATTAAGACAAAAAATAAGCTTTATTTTGATATAAAACATGCATATATGTCATGAGCAACATATTTTATTTTTATTGTTAATGTAATTTAATTAAATTTTAAATGTATGTAAAAAATGTGAATTTGATTAACTACATTATGAACATAGTAATCCTGCAGTGGAATCTTATGACTGTTAGGTATTTTGCCAAGCAAAGTCAGTACAAAATGCTCTACCTAGGTAAAAAATAACATTGTACTTAATTGCTAGTCTGAATCGCCAAATATATGTTAAATGGTTTATAAATTGTTGCTTTTTAATTTAGTATCATTAAAATTATCAAATGCTTTAACAAGTTTTATTGAAGTTGAAACAAAAATGTTGAAACAGTTGAATCAATCTAGAAAATAAGACGTAAATTGGTTTAAGCATAGTTTTAGAAAATAGGTTTCAAAAAAAGAACACAGGAAATTAATATATTTAAATTTATAACATAAAAGAAACCATCTACAATAATTGATTATAGTAAATTGTTAACACTTAAAATAAGGCACAAATGATTATTTAAGATACTTAAAACAATAACAATATCCTATCAATTTAAATTAGGGCACATTGTTTTCATTTTGTTAATTGAATAAGTATAATAAATCACAAATTGCTCCATTAAATCAATCAGACTTGGCACAAATACCCCGACTCTACACTAATAACATTATTTTTATCGATAATTCTAAACAAAACACAGCAAAAATATGCGGAATAGAAAATGAGGCAAAATTCGCTCTCATACAAAGACAAAAAAGTATTGACAAGACTAAAATTAGCTGAAGTTATTGACATAATAATTTTATTCACAAACAGTGCGATTTATACAGAAAGAGCTAATTGCGACTTAAAGGTACGTGAACTTTTACGAACCACTGTTATTCCAGTACGAATTTAACTCAAAAATAACATTTTTGTGCGAAAATGAGACGTAGATGTCAATAAACGGCTGACATTTTCAGTTTGACTAGTATGTCTTCGTCATCAAGAACAAAGAAATATAAAAAATAACGCCGTAAATAAAGGTAACGGTTATTTAAAACATTCAGAAAGGTTAATATATCTTGTTTTAATTAATAAATAGCTACCAAAACTAATGTTATTCGCTTCAAAACAGCTTTGACGTTTCCGCGATAGGTATCAGCTGTTTTACATCAAACAATGAACGAAAGTACATCCAAAAATAACATTAAAACTACACCAATTTATTAATATTTCGGAAAGAATAGTTATAGACTTACCTCGAATTTGTTTCTACCTGCATAAATCATATTAATGCAGGCGGAAAACGTCACAAATACACTTTGATTGTTCCGTACTTTCTTCACAAACAGTAACAAATAAGTGACTGGTATACACTACTGTTAGTACAATGTCCTTGGGTCGCAGCAAACTCTACGAATAGCGGCCAACGGATTTGTTTATGCGCTTGCCATTGGTCGAAGAGTGTTCAAAACAAAAACAACCCCATCTGATCGTCTGCTTCGTTTACAGCGTTGCCAATATCTAAGCAAATTATTAAAATTTTATGGAAAATATTCATTTTTTAGGTAATGATTTTCAGTTAACGTGAATTACTTTAAAACTAATTATTATAATCATGGTAACAAAAATAATTTGTATTATTTTATTTTATTAAATCATCATTAATCAGCCATGATTTATCCATTGTTGAATATAGGCCTCCTCTAGATATTTTCATATATTCTCTTCTAAGCATTTGTAATGTACCTACCTACTCACATGTAAGATAATTAAAGTATCTATGTATTTCTATATAGTTTTAGTCACCTGGTATATGGTATTTACAATTATTGAAAAGTTCTCATGTATAATCACTAATAATTATTTGCTGTTAGAAATCAGAATCATACTCTTCATAAATATTTTCCTATTTAGAATAAATAAGTTTCGCTAGTTTATTCGCCTAATACTTCGTATCTATGGAATAATAATAATTTATTTCTCTTATTTCTTTGTTCGATAAGCTATCCGTATTTGCTATTTTAATATTAATATTTGAGTCCAATCTCTTGTACTCAAATCCATCCAGAAACATCGTTAAATAATTGTAGATAACAGAACTTATAAATTTTATAGTTTTAAGAAATAACAGGCAGTGTAATTTTCATCCTCTAATATAATAAATTTATACATGTCAATATATTCTGTTTAATTCCAAAAACAAAGAGTTAGTCCGGAGAAGAAATAAACGCATAGTATTCCATAACAAAATTTGGTGTCAGAAGTGGGATATTAGTAGCAGAGTTCCTCTGATTGCTGATAGAAGGAGAGCTGAGGAATTTTGAATTGACTTGTTTCCTTCGAGGAATCATTCAAAAAACTGTCAGTGTGGAAAAATCGCCACTACAACTAATTACATTGGGGTCCAGTACATCCAGTTCGAAATCCAGTTCCAGTCATAACCCAATTGTAGTTCCATCGGAAGTAGAGGTGAACCCGTGGAATAATAGACTATGCGACCAACAACAATATTCTACTTGTAAGTACATTCTATCTTAAATTCTGTCTCATATTTTAAAAATCTTGTAAACGTATGTCTACTTTATATCCTGATATAAGTAACTTATTTGACGAACAAATACCATTCTCCCGACTCAAATTCTCTTTCAAATTCTTCTACTTCTAATTCAAATAAAATGTCAGTATCAATTGAAATAGCTGAAAAACTTCTCATTAGATTTGATGGTACAAAATCAAAATTATACGAATTCATAGACAATTGTGATAAAGCATACAATTTAGTAAATCCGCAATCCAAACCCATCTTATTAGCCATTATAGAAACTAAATTAAACCGATAAAGCTAGGGCCATAACTAGAAACAAGAACATTTGACGAATGGAAAGATTTAAAAGACTTCTTATTAGATGCTTATTCTGAAACGCCGAACTGAAGGTCAGTGGCAATTGGAATTACATTCCTTACGTCAGATGCCCAGTGAAAATGTAATGTCAATTTGCAAATAAAGTTGAAAATTGCTATATAAAATTAATAAATACACTTGATCCAGACTTATCTCCAGATGCAAGAAATGCATGTACTAAACTCTTAAAAACTCAAGCACTTAAATGTCTTTTATTAGAGGATTAAACAAAGACCTCTCTATTTTAATCAAAGCCCGAAATCCAGATTCCTTAGAAAGAGCTGTTGCTATAGCAATTGCCGAAGAACAAGAACAGTTATCAAGACAAGAAATTTTCAGACCATTCTGTAATATTTGCAAACGAAATAACCATTCCTCAAATAACTGTCCGATATAAAAACAATTCAGATAGAAATGTTAGACATCTTCAAAATTCTAGTTTTCAAAACCCAAAATATCCTATTCAAATCTTCAAAGGTCAAATTCTCAAAAATCAAAATTATAAACCTTCAAATTCAAATTCCAATTCTGATTTTCCTCCAAACTTAAGAAAAGAAAATACCAACACTTCCCAACGTTTTTGCAGATACTGCAAAAAAAACCAGGTCACGTTATAGAAGAATGTAGGAAAACGCGAATTTAACAATAAAAACAAAAATCCAACAAATTCTTTAAACTTCCAGAATCCTCGACAACCAACGGTCGATTCTCGAGGAGTTCGTTCAGTTCAGGCCGTATCACAACCATCAACTTCTCAGTCACTTCCTATGTAGATTTAACCCTTAGTAAATAATTCTAATCCATCCTCTTGCAAGTTTCTAATCGATACAGGCGCAGATATTTCTTTAATTAAATATTCAAAAATACTAAACATTCCAAAAATTTATTCTAAGTCTAATTACTCTACGAGGCATTGATAAAAATGTCTTAAATCCAAATAAAACTATATGTAGTTGTAACGTAAATTTCAAGATAAAAGATTTTGGTCCAAACTCATGTTTTCTATGTCGTAGAAGACGATTTTCCTCTTCATTTCGACGGTATATTAGGTAGCGATTTTTTTTGAAATAAATAAATGCCAAATTGATTATAAAGAAAATAAATTAAACTTTAAAAAATTGTTCTATTCCAATTGAATATATAAAATCTCCATTAAACAATGACAATGACGAATTTCTGAGAGATCAAAAATATCGAGACAAGTTCTAATATCGATGAAATATTTCCTTATGATGCTAAATCCATAGAGGATCATTCTATTTAGAAACCAATGATATCCAAATAACCTTAA